AAAAACAAAACTTTACAGACAAATCCTGTGGGGTATCTATCACAAGCAAGACATTTTAGCTTTCAAGTCTATTGTATAATTCATTACTTTAGAGTTTGGATATCCCAAATGTGCTTTCCAAGAGACTCTTAACAATTATTATCTTCACAGAACCATAAAATTATAGCAGAGGAGATTCCTTAGAAAGTAATACTAAAAGATTTCTAAGGATAGGACAGTTTACCAATCTCCTTCCTGCATAATTTTGACAAATTTAGAAAGCTTAGAAAAATTTTCCCACAATCCTTGGTCTTCATCTGCTATCCTTTCTTCAAGTTCTTGGCTTATCTTTCTAGCAGAAGTTATAGTACTAGAATTATATTAAATTACTTTTTAAATTTACTATCTTATATATCATGCAAATCTATAATTATCAATTAATGAAAATGTCATTTTGTATGTACATGGGAATAGAGGTACTGATGTTCTCATTTTTGTAAAATTTTAAGACCTTTAAGACCTTGCTGTTGTAGTATATCTAGGTCTTCAACACATTTTTTTAATGGTGAACTATGACCTATAGTGAAACTCAAGCATATTTGGAAAATACATGGAAAGTTCTTAGCACCAAGTGCTTGTGGGGAGGTGACGATACAGTATGTGGAAAACATCCATTCCTACCAAGCATTAGAAATGGTTATCAGTCTTTCATTCCTTTTATCTTCTTTTCAACTCAACTAAGTATTTCTTCACATGGCTTTGTTCGTGCTTTCTAAAACCCTTTAGTTTACTTGCTTAACTGAATCAGAGGACTGGATGGTGAGGCCATGACTTCCCAATAAGATTTAATTATGAGTGCAGATATGAACAAGATTTAGACTATTAAGCCTTGCACTTCAAAAAAACCTTTAACATATTTTGCCTTTAAATCTTTTATCACCTGCAAAAATTAATTAAGTGCAGATGTAGCAGGTTCGCTTTGGATGCCAGGGTTCATTTCCTGTCTATGCTTTGTCAGACAACCTATTACACCTCCTCGTGAACTAGAGGCAAACCGAAAACGGGGCTCATAAATCACCAGTCAGCTCTCTTTCGCCCTTTCCTGGGTTGGCCTTTTTGTATGGGGCAGATCTCCAGCTCATTATTCATGAACATACTATAGACAACATGCCAAGTGTCATCTGCATTTAAACAAACCATTTGTTAAGCAAATTATAACTCTATTGTGTAAGAATGCATCATGTTAAAATGCAAGACTAATCTAATGCCTCTGACTTTTAATCACTCAAGGTTTCTGCCGGGAGTCATCCCAAACTGGCATACATGATCTCGGATCTTTTCAGAAAGAATGACATGCTGACTTGTTTTAATAATACCACTGCTGCACAACAAACAACATGATTGCTAACCAGGGGAAGTGGCCAATTGGTTACCAAAGCAACAGCATTCTTTCCAGCACATCTGACTATTTAAAGTCTATATTCTGCAGGGAAAAGTAAATTCAGGTTCTGTTGGGTTATTTTAACTGTGGAAGTATCAATTCATTTAAGGATCATAAAAGTTGCCCTGATCTGCGCCTTCTTCTCATTAAATTGCAGTTAACACCAAGAAAGTGAAACGTGAATGTTTATGGTTTCAGAACTGCAATCCTGAATTTAATGAGTTTCCACATTCAAAGGAAACGCACCCTTCAGTTGTTTGCAAGTGCTAAAAGCAGGACAACCTAACACAGAAATACAAATACACTCCCTTTTATCTAGAGTCACTGAAATGCAGCTCTGGCCAGGAATACATACCAGATCTACAATCAATATCTTGCTTATATTTAGTTGGTCTCTCAAGTATTTGGCGGTAATTGCAACTGAATTAAAAAAGCAGAACCCCCTGCGGAATAGAGAAGAACAGAGAAATAAGAAAGCAAATCAGCCAGGAAAACCATTATAAATAATGTTCAGAGCATTTTTTAAAATGCTATATGATCTCTGAAGCCATAAATCTGCTTCTGGGAGTACCTTGCAAGATTTTTCAGTCCATCTGCTAACAATTAGAGGCTTCAGAGACATGCACGGGGCAGGTGACCGCCAGGAACCGTGGCGCTTGGAGATGGGCAACAGTCCCTGGTACTTACATGGCTGTGGATTCTTCAGCATGATGGCCTGGAGGCCTGACAACAGCAAACCCATTCTGTAAAAACAAGACAGGCTTTCAATGATCAGATATGGGAGGATTGCTTGCATCTTCATGTACTACAGAGCATCAGGCATACAGGAAAAGATTCAAGTCTCTAAGAGGCTTCGGAGCTTGTTTTCTTGACCCCATTGCCATTTCAGAGAATGAACAGAAACAATATATATGATCACATTTTATCAGATCATGTCTCAGAAAGAAGGCTCCTACACAGCAAGGGGAAGAATAGAGATTCGGGAGTTATACCTAGCTGGCAAATATGCATATCATCTGTTATACTAGCATGATTCATTTTCAAGAACAAGTTCTTATTTTATGAAAACAACATCCTACAGAGGAAGAAGAAATTCACTTTGGTGCAGGTTTGGGTCAAAATTTGGAAAGACCAGGGAAGATCCAAAGTGAAAATTCTTTAGCTGGATTCTCTTAATGGTTATTTCCACTCCATTGTCAGCAAAATGATAAATTTATACTCACACACTCACATACACACAAAAGAAACCCAGAAAGGTGAAAAAGAGAACAATGGAAAGCCCATATATCTTCCAGTCTATAAATTTAGCTTGGATGGCTGCCAAGACTTGCAACTTTATTGGATTCCCTAAGTCAATTTCTAGCCCACGTTCTGGAATTTTATAAAGAATTCCAGGGCTGAGTAGCAATCAGATCTATCCATGATCAAGGAATGCCTTAACCTCCAGATTAGTTGGAATGCATCACGGAAAGCTGAAGTAACTCCAGCATGAAGGCAAGGAACTATAAATCCTTACAAAGCCAGCATGCTCAGAAAAGTTGGGTTGCTTGACATGAAAAAAAATCATTCATCAGATGGTTCACACCACCTTTCACTTAACTATGATTCAAGTAACATACTCAAAAGATATTTCTTTAATATAGAAACCTAAAACTTTTGAAATAATTTTAATATACCCCACGGATATTTTTTTCCACATCTTCCTACAAGCAGAAAGATAATATCAAGAAAAATAATCTATTCCCTAGGACTTTAAATATACATAAATTTTTCTAGAATGTTATGGTAACCAACATATAATGATTAATTTGCTAAACATTTTGATCAGCATATACATAATGATAATCTCAGAAGCAAATCAGAAGTCAAATAACACAATATCAATTTTAAATGCAGAAATGGTATTAACATATTTCCTATAACAGTTCTTAAGATACTATCTCTCTGGCAATAAAAGACTAGTATGAGAGAAACTATTTAATGAACTACACAAGACTAAAGAAATTTTAAGATTGTAGAGTGAGACTTTAGTGTGCTATAGGAATTCTGAGGATAGATTATTAAGTAAAGGTTATGATAGGTGCAATATAACTTATTGGGAAGACAACAGGATGAAAATAACAAATATAATACAAGGCAATATAATTAGCATGTAATGAATTTCTGTAATTGGAGTCACAATACTAATGATCTTTTACAATTCAGTTAAAACCAATACACTTTTTTTTTTTTTAAAAAACTATGTTTTACAGGTAAAGGGCATGGATAGACAATACAAAGAAGAAAAAATTCCAGTGATCAATAACTAGAAGAAAAAACATTCAATGAAATTAGTAATCAAACAAAAGTAGATGAAAATCCTAATGGAAAAACATTTATCCACCCAGGAAATTGGATTTTGTTTTTCAATACTCTATGCTAACAATGCAGTGGTACTTTATACACTCACAAATGCTGCCTAGAAGAAGATAATCTATTATTGCCTTCCTGGAAAATAATCCATCTCTATATATTTAGAGCCTTTAAAAAACATTTACTCTTAGAATTACTAAAGGGGCGCCTGGGTGGCTCAGTTGGTTAAGCGACTGCCTTCGGCTCAGGTCATGATCCTGGAGTCCCGGGATCGAGTCCTGCATCGGGCTCCCTGCTCGGCAGGGAGTCTGCTTCTCCCTCTGACCCTCCTCCCTCTCATGCTCTCTGTATCTCATTCTCTCTGTCTCAAATAAATAAATAAAATCTTTAAAAAAAAAAAAAGAATTACTAAAGGATTTTTGCCCTAAAGGTGTTATTAACTTTGTAGATGAGGATTTATATAAAAGATGTTTTATTTACAATAGGAAAATGGAAATTATGTAAGTTAGCTAATATTAAGAGAATGTTTAAGTGAATTATGGTATATCTATACCATGCAATATTAGACAGCCATTAAAATTTTGTTATTATAAATACTGAGTGGAATAAAAAGATATCAACTCTGGAAGTATTGGTGTTAAAAATAACAGACACAGTATGATATATCTGAGTGATGGTATTATATAGTTATTTTAAATTTATAATTTCATATCTTTTGAAAATGGTTTTACAATAAACATTAATTACTTCATAATGAAAAAATATAAAACAAAGAGACAGTTGAGAGATACATTTGAATTGTCTTACAGGAAGAGCTGTGGTCATAAAGGTAGAGAAAAGTTTTAAAGGGCAGGAGGGAAAAGTATGAATAAATGACTCAGAAGAAAGAACTTTAGAAAGTGTTATTTATGAATATTACACTGCATATTAACTGGAATTTAAATGAAAACTTAAAAAATAAAGAACTATATACCAAAATATCAACCTGAATAGAAATCATGTTAACAAACAACATGGAAATAAAATCACATAAATAATTATATAAGCTAGATTATAAAGATAAAAAAAATCAAATAGAATTTGATTTTTATTTTCCTCTTCTCTCTTAAAGCCAAATTCCTTGAGAAAAGAGTCTGCCTTTCACTTTATAATCTTCCACAGTAACCACCACCATTCTGCTAAACTGCTTGATCTGGGGTTGAAAATTATCTTCTTGCAATAACAAACATTTTCTCAGTCATTATTATCCACCCAAAGCTTCCATTGTGCTCTCATTAATGGCAAACACCCCTACATTTTCCTTGTCTTTTCTGAGTGCCCCCCTTTCCTTAGCCAAAGCCTAGCAGGGCTGCTTCTTCCACAATCTTCTCAAGTGGTAGCTGCTTCCTCTCTCACACCACGCAAGCCTGCATTCAGGAAAAGACAGAACTGGTATACTCCTAGTGTCTCGCTGCTGTTTTGAAAGCATAAAACCCAATGCACCCACCCTTCACAATACGTTCTTGTAAGAAAGGATTAGATCACACACAGAGAGAAAAGATAAACACAGTAAGATGACTGAGACTGAGCCCTGGGGCAGTCTAGCTCCTTTTGCCTCCTGTTAGTGTAGAGGAAATGTTAGTCCTCTATTTTACCACCTGCAATGAGGATCCCATCCCCTCCTACTTCTCTACCATCATTTACATTTTTCTAACATATTAAAATTCCAAATTTTATATATATATATTTCATTCAGATTTAAATAAGCTCACGTTTCCACCATCTTGAAAATAAAAATGTTTTGGGGCGCCTGGGTGGCTCAGTTGGTTAAGCGACTGCCTTCGGCTCAGGTCATGATCCTGGAGTCCCAGGATCGAGTCCCGCATCGGGCTCCCCACTCGGCAAGGAGTCTGCTTCTCCCTCTGACCCTCCCCCGTCTCATGCTCTCTCTCTCTATCTCATTCTCTCTCTCAAATAAATAAATAAATAAAATCTTAAAAAAAAAAAAAAGAAAAGAAAAATGTTTTATATATATATATATACCAAAATAATACAAATAGACATATGTACAATATACCTCCATCCTTAATCCCACTGATCCCTCCAACTGCTACACTTTTCTTCCCTTTTAGCAAGCAAAATTCTTGAAATGGTGGTCTACCTTGCTGTCTCCTTTCTCCTTTTCCTCACCTCTGCCTCAATTACCTATCTCTAATTTATCTTCTACTTCCTTAGTCCACTAAGGAAGTTTTTACTAAGGTTACCAATGGCCTCCATGTCACTAATTCCAAAGATATTTTTATGTTCTCACTCTACGGGGCCCCTTGTCAACTTTAAACACTACTGGCTACATCTTCCTTTTTTTTTTTAATTTTTTATTGTTATGTTAATCACCATACATTACATCATTAGTTTTTGATGTAGCACTCCATGATTCATTGTTTGCGTATAACACCCAGTGCTCCATGCAGAATGTGCCCTCTTTAATACCCATCACCAGGCTAACCCATCCTCCCACCCCCTCCCCTCTAGAACCCTCATTTTGTTTCTCAGAGTCCATCTTCTCTCATGGTTCGTCTCCCCCTTCTTTTGGCTTCTGTGATTTCACGCTCCCCTGGTTTATTTACCTCTCCACTTCCTAATCAGTCTCCCTTGAATGCTCCTACTCCTCATCTTGCTAGTTAAATATTAAAATTACTCATGGCCCAGTCTTAGACTTCTCTTCTCCTCTTTCCACCCTTACTTCCAAGGCAATGCCATCACTCTTGTGGAATCAATTACCACCCATCATCAGATACTTCACAGATCTCTATTTCTAGGATAAGCCCCGCCACTGAGCACCAGACCATAATATTAGCCCACCAATCAATATCTTCACTTAAATATTCACTTGGAAGTTCACTTCAAATTCAGTATATCCAAGATCAATCTTCTGATCTTCTCCCAGCCTTCTCTAACTTATCAATGATTCATCCAGTGGCTCAAGTCAGAGACCAATGAGTTATCCTTAATGGCTCCCTCTCCCTAGCCTTCCCCCATTTCATTTTAATTCATGACCAATTCCTGTTGATTTTGATTCTAAATATCACTCAAATCTATGTACTTAAATCTACATCTACTCCTTGAGCATTTTGCCTTTTGAATTTCTGCCTTTCTCTCCATCATTCCTCCAGTAATTATTCTTAGTGATTTCAGTATCCATACATACAGACACTCCCTTCAATATCTTGATTTCTCAGTTCTCTGACTCCTCGTCTTCAATGACTCTGTCTTCCATTTACATTCATACTCCTAGACCTTGCCATTACCAGTGAGAAATCTACTCCATAATCTTAATGTCAAACATCCTACTCTCCTACTATCCTATTTTCCAATTAACGCCTCAACTGCACCAAGACTTCCAATCCACTGA